GCTTCCGAGTCGTCTGATATCACGCTTGGTGTGGGGCGCATAGGGCCCACTGCACGGGCACTCACACGCACTAGGTTACCATTTGCGGTATATGATGAGAGGATACCCTGACTCGAACACGTAAAGCATCAAAATTGACTTCGGCCGGACAGGACACAGTACGGCGCAGAGAGCAACTCAGACTCCGATCTCAGACGAAGATTCAGACAAATCACGAAGTGTAAGTTCGCAGGAGCAAGCAGTGGTATAGTATCACTCTAGAAGGACCGAGTGGTATCAAGAACATTGCTATTGAGAGCCTCCGTTGTTATATTCGACAGTTCAGCACTTTTAGACTAGCGCGCGCCCAAATGATCGATTATCAAGGGGCCAAATTCGTCGACACGCAAACTGCTGATTCGTTTCGGGAATCAAGTGAGATATCCCTTATACATTTTCGGATAACATCTATTGTCTTGGACTGAGGTTGATCATATTAGTGCAGTCTTCGATCCTCGGGGAATGGGAGATCGTCGGGGACGGTTGAAACGCTCGATGGGAACTTGAAAAATCGAGAGGTAGCATTATAATTTTAAAGTTATCCGTCGGGTACTTCCCTCGTCAATGGCCAAACAGACGAGGAACAAGGGTTTAGGAGGCGCCAAGTCGAGAGGGCAAGGGAAGGCGTTCAATCCTGGCAATGCCAGTACTAATCCCGACAGGTAATACTCGAGAGGAGAGGGTCCACAGGTTAATCCCAGTATTCAGGAAAACCGCGAGTAACTCTCCGGGCTTTATGCGCTCCAAGAATACGATCAAGCGACTCAACATGTACAGTCAGAAGCTGAAGAAGGCTGATTTGAACAAAGTATTATCTTTGAGAATTGAGGGTGTCATTCAGCGTGTAATTTTCAGCGTAAAATCCAGCCAACTGGGCCGGCTCGGATCGCCCCTGATCGTCGATGGTTCGGCAACACACGCGTTTTGAGTCAGCAAAAGTTGCAGAAGTTCAGAGAGGAAATCGGCCAGAGCGTGAATGACCCTTTCCAGGTATTCCTTGCGTGAGCT